TATTAATTTCCCTACATACATCATTTCCCTTCCCTCATACCCTGCCTACTGGTGCTAATAATGCGGGTCTTGGATTGTAACCGAACTCGGCTCAATTGGTTTCACGGCACAGTGAAGCCAGCCGCTACGCCACTACTCCCCGTAATTATTGTCCAGAAAAGTCTGGCTGAGTTTCAACATTCTTTGCGCAGGAGGAGGAGGAGGGCCCTGCAATGGGATGTTTTGGCCAGTGTTTTATAATGTGCACGTACAGCCCTTTGTCCACTGCTGGATAAAGGTCTCGCTACGCCGTGCGGGTCATGGGAATGTTTGTTTTGAGCCATACTTCACCGCGCTGGTCCGTGCCCAGAATCGCTTCAGATGTCACTGGCTGGGAATCGAACTCTGCTTTGTCTGGTTCTCATAGCGCAGTACGCTCACCGCCGCGCCACCACTCTCTTACTGAGCGTTATACATCTACCACAAACGTAAAAGCCTCCTCTGATTTAAACACATTCCTGCGGAGGGAGCTGGTAGGAACGTCGGGTTGCTCGGTCAATGGCCTGCAGGGTCAACGGCGGCGTGGTGTATTCCGCAAATATGCCCGACTGTGAGGGCGGGCACAAGCCGGCGTGAGTAGGTTAAACGTTGAGTTTTATAAGGGCACCACGGGGTGACCAGCCCCTCCCCACCCAGCCCCACCCCTCCCACCCCCTCCCCAGCCCCTCCCTCCCCACCCACCCCTCCCCTCCCCACCAGCCCCTCCCCACCCTCCCTCCCCACCCAGCCCCTCCCCACCCTCCCCACCCAGCCCCTCCCCACCCTCCCCTCCCCACCCACCCCTCCCCTCCCCACCCAGCCCCTCCCCACCCTCCCCTCTCCACCCAGCCCCACCCCTCCCATTTTTGGATGCACGACGGACGGACACAATAATCCCCTGTGGGCTGGTGTAACCAGGAGGTTACTACCAGTACCAGACAGTTTTCCTCCCACCCTCACACATTGCTTCCTAATGTCTCCCTTCCTAAGCCTCGCACCATATAGATTTCGTTACTGCATCTCTCCCATCCGGGCCACCGAACTTTCACCCCACGCAATAAACCAAACCGCAATTTTGTTGTTGTAAATACTAATAATGATAATCGAAACAACGTTCAATTTGAAATACTAAAGCACCGCCCTCGAAGAGAGAGAGAGAGAAAGACCCAGAGGTGCTGGGAGGAGGAGCCGGTGCCAAATCAACCCCTACCACCCCAAAGCTCTGTGGTCCTCTATGTATTAAGATGTTTTCGTCTAATGAATTGAGTGTTTCCACTTGGGGGGGGGGGGGATGGATCACCCGGAGAAACCCCCACGCATTCGAGGGGAGACAACACGATCCCGTACAGATGGAGGGAAAATCAGTCCACACTTTTTCTGTTCCGCTACGCGGCAAGCCAGGCAGGGTGTTATTGCACCTGGCGATGCCCGTTTCGCAGCATTTGTGTGTAACCCAGCAAGCCCTCGCTGCTACCTCCACATTGCTGGATTGCAGACAGGCCACGTGCATAGCCACCGCAGCGCGATGAGGAGTGCAGTACAACAGTGGATTGTTTCTGCGCTGCCCTCTGCCGCCCACAATGTATTGCCACAGACGCCACTGACAACGCTTGGTGGTCACCCACCCACCCACCCGTCTGTCTGTCTATCCAGGCACAGCCCGGCTGAGCTTGAGAGATCTGATGAGATCGGGCGCATACCTGCTGATTTGGTCCAAGTCCATAAGCCATGTCTCCCCTTTCGCCTTGCAGCCCAGATTCCCACTCAGCATTCTGCTCCCTCACCCTCCATGCATCCCTTTCGTCTCTAACAGCTACCCACCATCCACATAGCCATCACTCAACCTCTCACTCACCCACCCACCCTCTCACTCACCCACCCTCTCACTCACCCACCCTCTCTCTCACCCACCCTCTCACTCACCCACCCTCTCTCTGACCCACCCTCTCACTCACCCACCCTCTCTCTCACCCACCCTCTCACTCACCCACCCTCTCACTCACCCACCCACCCTCTCACCCATCCTCTCACTCACCCACCCTCTCACTCACCCACCCACCCTCTCACCCACCCTCTCACTCACCCACCCTCTCACTCACCCACCCACCCTCTCACCCACCCTCTCACTCACCCACCCTTTCTCTCACCCACCCACCCACCCTCTCACTCACTCACCCACCCTCTCACTCACCCACCCTCTCACTCACCCTCTCTCTCTCACCCATCCCCCTCTCTCACTCACCCACCCACTTTCTCTCTCACCCACCCACCCTCTCACTCACTCACCCACCCACCCTCTCACTCACTCACCCACCCTCTCACTCACTCCACCCTCTCTCTCACCCACCCTCTCTCTCACCCACCCACCCACCCTCTCACTCACTCACCCACCCTCTCACTCACTCACCCTCTCTCTCACCCACCCTCTCTCTCACCCAACCACCCACCCACCCTCTCACTCACGTCACTCACCCACCCACCCACCCTCTCTCTCACCCATCCACCCACCCACCCACCCTCTCTCTCACCATCCCCCTCTCTCACTCACCCACCCACCTTTTCTCTCACCCACCCTCTCACTCACCCACCCACCCACCCTCTCACCCACCCTCTCACTCACCCACCCTCTCTCTCACTCACCCACCCTCTCTCTCACCCACCCTCTCTCTCACCCACCCACCCTCTCACTCACCCACCCTCTCACTCACCCACCCTCTCTTTCACCCACCCACCCACCCACCCTCTCTCTCACCCACCCACCCACCCTCTCTCTCACCCACCCACCCTCTCTCTCACCCACCCACCCACCCACCCTCTCTCTCACCCACCCACCCACCCACCCTCTCTCTCACCCACCCTTTCTCTCACCCACCCACCCTCTCTTTCACCCACCCACCCTATCTCTCACCAACCCTCTCTCTCACCCACCCACCCACCCTCTCACCCACCCACCCACCCTCTCACCCACCCTCTCTCTCACCCACCCTCCCACCCACCCACCCTCTCTCTCACCCACCCTCCCACCCACCCACCCTCTCTCTCACCCACCCTCCCACCCACCCTCTCTCTCACCCACCCACCCACCCTCTCTCTCACCCACCCACCCACCCTATTTCTCACCAACCCTCTCTATCACCCACCCTCTCACCCACCCACCCACCCTCCCTCTCACCCACCCTCTCTACCCTCTCTCTCACTCACCCACCCTCTCTCTCACCCAACCCACCCACCCTCTCTCTCACCCACCCACCCTCTTTCTCACCCACCCACCCTCTTTCTCACCACCCACCCACCCTCTCTCTCACCCACCCACCCTCTCTCTCACCCACCCACCCTCTCTCTCACCCACCCACCCCCCCTCTCTCTCACCCACCCACCCACCCACCCTCTCTCTCACCCACCCACCCACCCTCTCTCTCACCCACCCACCCACCCTTTCTCTCACCCACCCACCCACCCACCCTCTCTCTCACCCACCCACCCACCCACCCTCTCTCTCACCCACCCACACCACCCTCTCTCTCACCCACCCACCCACCCTCTCTCTCACCCACCCACCCACCCTCTCTCTCACCCACCCTTTCTCTCACCCACCCACCCTCTCTTTCACCCCACCCACCCTATCTCTCACCAACCCTCTCTCTCACCTCACCCACCCACCCACCCTCTCACCCACCCACCCACCCTCTCACCCACCCCTCTCTCTCACCCACCCTCTCTCTCCACCACCCTCCCACCCACCACCCTCTCTCTCACCCACCCTCCCACCCACCCTCTCTCTCACCCACCCACCCACCCTCTCTCTCACCCACCCACCCACCCTCTCTCCTCACCCACCCCACCCACCCTCTCTCTCACCCACCCACCCACCCTCTCTCTCACCCACCCCACCCACCCGATTTCTCACCAACCCTCTCTATCACCCACCCTCTCACCCACCCACCCACCCTCCCTCTCACCCACCCTCTCTACCCCTCTCTCTCACTCACCCACCCGCTCTCTCATCCACCCACCCACCCTCTCTCTCACCCACCCACCCTCTTTCCTCACCCACCCACCCACCCTCTCTCTCACCCACCCACCCTCTCTCTCACCCACCCACCCTCTCTCTCACCCACCCACCCTCTCTCTCACCCACCCACCCACCCACCCTCTCTCTCACCCACCCACCCACCCCTCTCTCATCACCCACCCACCCCCCACCCTCTCTCTCACCCACCCACCCACCCTCTCTCTCACCCACCCACCCACCCTCATCTCTCTCACCCACCACCCACCCTCTCTCTCACCCACCCACCACCCTCTCTCACCCACCCACCCACCCACCCTCTCTCTCACCCACCCACCCACCCACCCTCTCTCTCACCCACCCACCCACCCTCTCTCACCCACCACCCACCCCCCTCTCTTCACCCACCCACCCTCTCTCTCTCCCCCACCCACCCACCCTCTCTCTCACCCACCCTCTCTCACCCACCACCCACCCTCTCTCTCACCCACCCACCCACCCTCTCTCTCACCCACCCTCTCTCTCACCCACCACCACCCTCTCTCTCACCCACCCACCCACCCTCTCTCTCACCCACCCACCCACCCTCTCTCTCACCCACCACCCACCCTCTCTCTCACCCACCCACCCTCTCTCTCACCCACCCACCCACCCACCCTCTCTCTCACCCACCCACCCACCCTCTCTCTCACCCACCCCACCCACCCTCTCTCTCACCCACCCACCACCCTCTCTCTCACCCCCACCTACACCCTCTCTCTCACCCACCCACCCTCTCTCCCACCCCTCCCAACCACCCCTCTCACAATTCAACCACTCATTCTCCCTCCCCTCCCTCTCACGTCTCTTCTCTCCCCTCCCACTTCTCCCCCCCCCCACCTTCCCAGCTCTCCCTTGCTGGGCCAGCCCTGCCTCCCCACCACCGTTCTTCCTCTGCTTTAAACGCTCCAACGCTCTCTCTCTCTCCTCCCTCCGCCCACACTCTCCATCCCACTCCCCCCCCACGTTTTTCTGGCGTCATTAGCAGCGTGAAGCCAGCGGCGGTGGCGTGCGACGACACACACGAACTGTTCGGCCGCACATTCACATTCACAGCATCATCATCAGCATCATCATCAGCATCATCAGCAGCAGCATCAGCATCATCAGCAGCAGCAGCATCATCGGCTTCTCTCGCTCTGTCGCGCTGTTCCAGCTTCGCCTGCCCACTGCTGCCTGCCCGCTGCTGCTGCTGCTCCTAACAGCTGCAGACGCTTGTGACTTTCACGCACGCACATATATAATATATAATAGCAACGCCTTTTGTCTGCTGGTTGGGCAAAGCCTTTATTAGGGCGCTACTCGGTTCTCGTTTTTTTTTGTTTTTCCATCGTCTGGTCACCCGAGCCACAATGGAGAAGAAGCAGTGGTGTGGATTGAAGGGCCGTGGTACGTTGTTGTTGTTGTCTTTCAATGCCACCACCACCACCAACATCATCGTCGTCGTTGTTATTGTTGTTGTCTTTCAATGCCACCACCAACATCGTTGTCTTTCAATGCCACCACCACCACCAACATCGTTGTTATTGTTGTTGTCTTTCAATGCCACCACCACCAACATCATCGTCGTTGTTGCCTTTCAATGCCACCACCAACAACATCATCGTCGTCGTCGTGATGGTTCAGCGAGCGATAACACCCGTGACCTTTAAAGGAGAGAAAAAAATAAAATATTAAGGAGGCGACGTTTCGGGCGACAGCCCTCCACGGCACATATGCTTTTCTCTGTGTTGGTGTTTGTGCCGTGACGAAGGTGATTTGCCCAAAACGTCGCCTGTTTTTTTAAATCTTGTTTTCTCCTTTTAAGGCAACCGATGTTGTGCTTGACTAACCCGTTGAGTTGTTGTTGTTGTCTGTGCTGGTACACAACTGACAATGCAGCAGCAGCAGCGGCATAATCGCCGTCACCAGATGATTCCTTTAAATCGTTCCGTGATTATTGTTGTTGTTGTTGGCGTCTGTGTTTGTGTTAGCTCCGACGCGTATAAGGTTTTTACAATCTGTCAAAAAAAACCAGGGCCGTAACGGGGGCGATCTTCGTCTTTGTTTCGATATTGGCAGATCGCTGTGGTCTGGTACGGTCCATTGTTTTGTTGTTAACAATGCTATTGTGTGTGTCGGTGTGTGTGTGTCGGTGTGTGTGTGTGTGATTTAGATTGTCTCTCGTCATAGTGTGTGTGTGTGTCTAAGGGGGGTTTGTATTTGTGTGTATGCCACCAGCATGGTGTGTTTGCAAATTGTAGCGCCCACGGCCGGGCCTCCCCTAGGTCGACTCGGCCTCAAACGAGAACCTGGTGCTGTGCGTAAAAGCATCGCCACTGGGGGAAACAAAGGCGGCCGGGCGTGGTGTTGGCCACCCCACGGTTGCCGCCCTTCAAAGGCGCTGCTACTCGCTAACAGCACTTGCCCCAAACAGTCTGTGCAGGCTATTGGGGGGATCTTTGTCTTTCTATGTTTGTATTTGTGTGCACGAAGCGTGGGGCGTTGTATGCAAATTCCTGTGTGTGATGTTGATGGTTGTGATGTTGATGGTTGTGTGGGATTGATATAAATATGTTTATGCCTCGTCACGTGTGTGTGTGTCTACGTGTTCACGTGTGTATCGTCAGGTCGGTGTGTGTGTTTGTGTGCGTAAAGAGCTTGGGGCGTTCGTTCTTCTGCAGGTTGCTTTGCGTTGTGTGCTTTTGTGATGTCGTGTTGCCTGCGTTGTGTGTTTGATTTGGTTGTGTTAGTGTCATATGGGTTGTGTTAGTGTCATATGGGTTGCGTGTGTCTGTGTGTGCGGCATAGGGTGTGTGTGTCTGTGTGTGCAGCATGGGGTGTGTGTGTGTCGCATGGGGGTGTGTGTGTGTGTGTCTTTGTGTGTGTCTGTGGGGGCGGCATGGTGAGTGTGTGTCTGTATGTGGGTGCGGCATGGGGCGTGTGTGTGTCTGTGTGTGTAGCATGGGGTGTGTGTGTGTGTGTCTGTGTGTGTAGCATGGGGTGTGTGTGTGTGTCTGTGTGTGCAGCATGGGGTGTGTGTGTGTCTGTGTGTGTAGCAGGGGGTGTGTGTGTGTCTGTGGGTGCGGCATGGGGTGTGTGTATGTCTGTGGGTGCGGCATGGGGTGTGTGTGTGTCTGTGGCATGGGGTGTGTGTGTCTGTGTGTGTGTCTGTGTGCAGCATGGGTTGTGTATGTCTGTCTGCAGGACGGGTTTGTGTCTGAATGTTTCTTTGTGTGTGAAATGTTATCACGCTGCTGTTGTGTGTTTTATGTATCAGCCGGAGCTGTCACGTAATGTTTTTACAGTGCGTGTGTTGTGTATTTAGGGTTGTGTTTTTCGTATCTATAAGCTGTGGACTGTTGATATCATCCTCGTGTATTGTGTGTGGCGTGTGTATTGATTATGTTAATTATTTGGGACCGATTGTAAAAATGTGTGACGTCATGTTTTCTTTTGGCCTGTGCCTTTCCATTGTTACCAGTTTATGTGTTTGCAATTGTGTGTGTATGTCATCCAGATTAGTTTTTTGCACAATAATTTTATATACCATATTCTCCTTTGCTTTGTGTGCATGATATATATTCTGGGTTTGAAGTTGTGGGTGATATCATCTTTTGTGCCTTGTGGCGTGCAAATCGATGAGTGCAGTCGTGTGGGTCCTTCTGTGTTGGCGTCGTGGTAATCATCCGATTTTTGATTTAAAGCTTTCGTGACTGCAGGGATTCATCTTCTTGGTTCTTTCGGTAAAGTCACGTAGAAGGGAAGTAATAAAATAATAAAAATTAAACATAATAAAATTATTCAGAGTCAGACTCTGTCGCCTCGACGGACCTGGTTTTCGCCTGAGGACGGCTGCTTGCGTTGTGGCCGAAACGTCGTGAGAATAATTGTATTATGTTTTATTTTTATTATTTTATTACTTCCCTTCTACGTGACTTTACCGAAAGAACCAAGAAGAAGAATCATCCGATTGTGTTACATTATCACCTGGAGCTATGTGTGCGTACCTGGCATCCCCTTATCAGTGCCCCCAACCTTGTTACAGACAAACTCAGACCCTATTGGTCACCCCCCGTGGCCCCTTATACATCTCAACGTTCATCCTACAAAGTTCCCATCACAAGGGAGAAACACAAACAAATAGACAAAATATATTTGTTGTGCTCGTATTGAAATGGCTGTACGCCGTATGGGTTGACAGCCGCGTGTGTGTGTAATGTGTGTGGTGTGTGTGTGGGGTGTGTGTGTGGGGGGTGTGTGGGGTGTGTGTGTAGTGTGTGTGTAATGTGTGGGGTGTGTGTGGTGTGTGTGCAGTGTGGGGTGTGTGTGTGTAGTGTGTGTGGGGTGTGTGTAGTGTGTGTGGAGTGTGTGTAGTGTGTGTGGAGTGTGTGCATGTAATGTGTGGGGTCTGTGTGTGGAGTGTGTGTATGTAATGTGTGGGGTCTGTGTGTGGTGTGTTTGGTGTGTGTGGGGTGTGTGTGTGGGGGATGTGTGGGGGGTGTGTGGGGTGTGTGTGGGGTGTGTGTGGTGTGTGTGTGGGGTGTGTGTAGTGTGTAGTGTGTGGTGTATGTGTAATGTGTGGGGTGTGTGTGTAATGTGTATGGCATTGTCTCCGACATGCAGTCTGTGCGCGCGTGGCGTGTGTGTTTGTGCATAGCGTTGTGTAACACATTCCTGCGGAGGGAGCTGGTAGGAACGTTGGGTTGCTCGGTCAATGTCCAGGGTCAACGGCGGCGTGGTGTATTCCGCAAATTTGGCCGACTGAGAGGGCGGGCACAAGCCGGCGTGAGTAGGTTAAACGTTGAGTTTTATAAGGGCACCACGGGGTGACCAGCCCCTCCCCACCCACCCCTCCCACCCCCCACCCAGCCCCTCCCCACCCAGCCCCTCCCCACCCTTTCCACCCAGTCCCTCTCCACCCTCCCCTCTCCCCCCAGCCCCACCCCTCCCATTTTTGTATGCACGACGGACGGACACAATAATCCCCTGTGGGCTGATGGAAGCAGGTGGTTCCTCCCAGTAGTATCTTGAGTGTGTTGTGTATTACGTGATCATCTTTGTGTTTCTGTACGCTTTGGAATATTGCGTGATGTGCTACGTCATCTGATTGCGTGTTATCGTGCGGATACTTGTGGTTCTTATGACGTTAGTGTTGTGTGTTCACCTGGCGATGTGTTGCCATGGTTACGTATAGGTTTTGTGTGTTTGTACATAAACGTACGCGCAGTGTTGTGTAGTTTTTTACGAGCATATGCAGTGCTTAATATTGTCTCGTACATACGATACAGACAGGCAGATCACGACAGCCTGATGCACATTCTAGTGATGTTCTAGAAGGGCGAGGTAGCTGACATTTGACACGATGATAGTCGAGTCTACGGCTGATAATTATAACAATTTTGCGCCCTTAAATATTATCGTTCTGAGGTTGATTGGTTTCACTCTTAGGGGCTGGCTCATCATAAATTTCATATTTGCTCCACGCCTCCGCAGAGTCACTCTCATTAGTGTCCACGATATACTGCGGTACGTTATAAATTGCACGATTACAAGGACTAAACATGCGATCTCCCATCGCTGAACCTAATAAATCGTCTTCTGGGTCGTCAATCCGCCTGTCTGGTCCTGGAGTTGCAAGTGGATTGTGTATTTACGTGGTATTGATACATCGATTGTATATCATTTGAAATTGAGGCAAGGGGAGGGAGGAGGTTACGTGGGGCAGTGATGTGGTGGAGGTGATGATATGAATAAAAAGTGTGCTGTACTTGGCCCTTCCCCCCCTCTCCAACCATTATATAAACGGAGTGGTAGCTCCTGCAATCTCTCATTTACTTGATACAGCTGTCGTGGCTGTGACGGTTCCACCTGAAGACGGAAGCTTGTGTTGCCTCCGAAACGTCGTGATTTTTATTTTATTTCACTTTTATTAATTTTAATGTTTTTACCTACGTGACTTTACCGAAAAAACATTAGAATAAGAATGTGATGTGAGCGGTTTACGAGATAGGGAGGTACTGGGTTTGGGCCTTGTACCACCAGAAAACTGGTACCGCAGTGGCGAGATGTTAACTACCTTTCCTAGTGTACAGGAGGTCGTGGGTTCAACCCCGACCCTGATGCCTGCTGCTGTATATTTTGAGTTGCGTGTCTCTCTCATCATCATCACGGTGCGTGCGGGTGACGTCACCGAGCTTCCTCCCGTCACCTCCCGTCCAGCGGCACGCTTGGGAACAGGGGCGAGGTCGCTTTTTGTCTGCACCAAATATCCGATTTGAGTCGTGTAATCAATTGCTTCGCATCGAATCGGCTAAGTAGCCGGAGATTCCCAGCTCTCGCTCTGTCCCTGGGACTGCACTTTCCATTTCTCATCCCCCCGGAGTCGATAAATGTGTCCCCCCCCCACC